AAGAATTAAAGAATCAATCAACCAATAACAATGGAATCTACAAATTCTCAAAATCTTTAAAAATCCATCTACCAATAACTTTCAATACACATGATTCCTACTTATCTAAAACTTTCAGATATATCTCATCTGATATACAAACAATAAAATCGATTTCAACATAAATGCGAAGGTTTTTCTCTCTGTGTTGTGAAGTATCGAACAGGGGCTCCCGAAGTTAAGTAGGTGGGTTGACTTGGGCTTGGTAACTATTTCCAGTTAGTTGAATATTGGCCCATTATTGCTATGTCTTCTTCGATACTCTTTGAAAGGGATTTGCTTGGGGGTGGACAAACGGTTGGGGATTTTACGGAAACGGGATTTGTTGTTTGAGAGAAATTTAAAAAAATGCAACTTTTTAAATGTCACTTTACAAAAATGCCACATTTTTTAAATTTTTACAAAAATGTCATTTTTTTAAAATTATTTTTTCTTTATATTATTTGTGTTTGGGTTAATTATGTTCTATTAGGGTTTAGTTTTGAGTGTTTAGGAGGTTTTAGGTGTCAAAAAATTTTTTAGGGTTTAGAATTTTAAGATATAGGCTTTATAAATCTATAATTAGTGGCATTTTTGTAAATGGTCACCTCTAAGTGGCATTTTTGCAAATGTGCACACAAAAAGTGGTATTTTTGTAATTGCCCCTTTTTTTAATTAGAAAATATGCTTTATTGTGTCATATTTAGAATTCTGGACAAGAACGGGATGGGGCAAAAATGTTACGAGAATTCTCATATAATAATCGATTTCAAAACACTAAATTAAAATAAAATTATGTTACAAATTGCAAATATGTATCTAACCTAAATTTTTATATCGGAGAAAATCTCAGAAAAAAAAGTTTTTCTCTACCATTTAAGACAAAGAAATTAGGATAAAATAAGTAGATTGGTAATTTGGGAATATGAAAAGAGGTTAGTGGCAGGCTCGTAAACATTTAAAAACAGTGTCAATGCGACACTTGAGATGTGGTATTTCACAAAATTTCTCCTTTACAAATGTATTTTCTTTCTTATTGTTGTCATTTTTGTTTTGTTTGAATTATTTTTATTATACTAGGACCTTAAATGGTAACACAATTCTACACGATTCTAGCAGAATTGTGTAGAATTGGGAGAATTGTGCACCATAATACACTAGTTGGGTTAATGAAAAATTGGGAGGATTGAGAAGAATTCACACTACACATCAAATCAAATGACATTAATTTTTATTGTTTGTATTTCTTGTAAAATTTCTTTATTATTTTTATTTTTTTAATTAGCTTGACATTAAAATTTTGAGTACATACTATTGAAAAATTAAATAAAAAATGATTGATAAACAAATTATATCATTCTAAAATATTATGTTAAAATATTTGTTATAAATGATTTACAAGATATAATTTATGTTTGGAGATATTCTTTAATTATTAGATATTCAATATTTGCTAACATAATCAGTTCTACTTCAAATTTATGCCAGATAATATAAAATTTTAATTGAGTAAGAATATTTAGGATACTTAAAATTACAAATTTTAAAAAATAATTTTTACAAGTTACAAGTTATTGTGTTAAATTATGTTGTTATCTTATGTTTAGTAAAACTATTCATATACTAGATGAAGGACCCACATATATACGGATTTTGTAATTTGATATCTTATAACCTTTTGAA